AACAGGATTTGAACCCAGGCATTCTGGCTCTAGGGTCTGTGTACTTAACGAGAACATTACACTGCCTAGTAAAAATGGTCACACATGAATTTAATCAAAATCACTTATTTGAACTCTGGTCCTGTGCTACACTGTGCCAAGCAGGATTTTTTTTTTTTCAGATTCTTATTAGAAATTTTATTTAAAAAGTTACACAAACTATTTGAACAGCTGTTAGAGTTAGAAATAGTATATGCAAAGGACTTAGCACAGAACATAGTCCAGTTTTAAGCATATGCTAGGTATCTAACAATAATGATCACTATTATTTGAGTACTTTTTTTTCCTTAGAATTTCAAGAGTATGTCTAATGTATACTTTATACTTTCTACCTTGGACTCTTTGGAAAGCTATTTTAAATCCTGAGGCAGCTTTGCCATCTTTTCTAACATTTCATCTACTTTTTCCCTACAGTAGTCAGATACCATTACTTATCCTTATGCTTGCTCAACCTGAGTCTAAATGGTCCCTGTTTTCTTTATAACATCATTTATTTATTTGTAAACTTTACACTTCGGTATTACTACATAGTATGCAGTAGATATGCAATATCATATAGAGATCTCGGCAATAATTAGACAGTAGGAGGTGAGTTTTTCAAAGAAACAATAGTTTTGACTCTAAAATTATTATTTCTTTAGTAGGTTCAGGTCAATACATAAAGACCTTAATGTTCTTTTATTGTGGAGATGAGCAAACCCGGTTGCTTTCTGGTTTGGTAAACTCTATCTAGCTATTTTTCAAGCATTATATGGCTGTCAACTCCTCAGATGTATTCAGCCAAATACCTTCCCCCTTAACTTCTAAGTGTGTGTGTATTTCAAAGGAAATTGAAACCATGAATTTCTAACTTATTCATACTTAAGTATCAAAGTTATTGTGTTTGTCTTGGTCAAAACTTACAGATTCTAGCTTCTATTTCTTTGACCCAGGAAACCTGGAGAGGTTGGCAGCAACCAGCTTTTAGAGAATAAACCAAACTGGTTGTCTGGGTCTGGGAAGCTAGTTCACATTTGTCCTTCAAACAACATTTAAAATGACTTTTTTTCCTTTGAATTCTATGGCAAGGGTAAAGAAAAAACAGAAGTGCCTCCAAATCTCTCTTAGCTGATAATAACAACTAAAATGAAAGGAATCCCAGAACCTCTTGATGGAAGGGGTTGGAGGGGCAGCAATCTGGTTGGAAGGGTATAGGGGTAGGAGTTTTGTGTTGGAGGACAGTTTACACAGCACTTTACATAAGTCTGAGAAAACATCAACTCTTTGTGTCAGGAAAGGGCAGCCCTGGCCAATTTGGCTCAGCAGATAGTGTGTCCGCCTGCAGACTAAAATGACGCGGATTCGATTCCGATCAAGGGCACATACCTCAGTTGCAGTTCAGTCCCTGGCCCTGGTCAGGGTCATGTGGGAGGCAGCCAGTTGATGTGTCTCTCTCATATCGATGTTTCCCTTTCTCTCTCTCTCTCCCCCTGTCCCCCCCCCCACCCCCCACCTTGTCTGAAACTAAATGGGAAAATAATCTTGGGTAAGAATTAAAAATAAATAAATAAATAAATAAAAATAAAAATAAAGGAAAAGGCAGTGGTAACAGGGAGGGGAGGGTGGAATATGGTTGTAATTGGGATTCTTGGTTCTCCTTCCAAGCCATTCCTTAGTACTGCTTCTGACCTGACAACACCATCGTCTGGACCCACTATTTTAGGGGCTAGAGTTTCCAGAAGCAAAAGGAACCACTAAAATACTAGTTAGGCAAAGAGTAACAATAAAAGGCTAGAAGGACATGAATATCAAGCATGACAAACTCACAGCCTTGTTAAATGGCCAGGTTATTTTGTTGTGATCCATTTTTTTTCCTGGTAACTTTGGAAAAAAATATGTTTTTATTGATTTTAGAGAGAAAGGAAGGGAGAGAGAAACATCTGTGTGAGTGAGAAATATCGATCAGTTGTCTCCCGTACCGACCCTGACTAAGGACTAAACCTGAAACCTGGGTATGAGCCCTGACTGGGAATCGAACTAGGGACTTTTGGTGCACGGGATGATGGCCAACCAACTGAGCCACACCAGTCAGGGCTTCCTGGCAAGTTTTTATAATATTGGCTCTCTTCCCCAAAATGACAGAGCATCATGTGAATATGCATAGAAGACATTCACTCTGAAAATATTCTCTAGAAGGCTGTCCCCTAGAGAAAGGCAAGTTGAAAAATTCTGTAGATTTATGTTGGCTACCTATTATATGGCACAGGATGGAGTGATCATACTTTAAAAAGGTAGCCTTAGACTGTCATAAAAATCAACAGCTGTGCAAACATTGGTCAGTTTACGAACCAATTTTAAACTAATATTTAAAAGATGTACCTCCCCCCTTTCAGTTGCAGAAGAGACCCATGGAGAAAGAATTTAAATTTATAGAAGGGAAATGTTTAAGACATCTGCTTATCAGCACCTAGTTTTATCATGTTAACAGGTTATAACTTCCAAAAAAAAATCTTTTTTTTTTTTTTAACAAAACCAAGTGTGGTAGGCAGACTCTAATATGGACCCCAAGACTCCTGGTTCTATATTCCTGGAATTCATGCCCTTGAGTAATCTGTTCCCCTATGTGTGCACCTGTGACTTGCTTTTAACCCAACAGAGCCAAGCAGGAATAATTTCAACTTTCATAAAGACTGGGCTCCCTTCCCACTGGGCATTCTACTGGCAGACTACTCAGGGACTCCAGAGGCTTGTTTTGGTTTGGGCCGCAGTAGAAGAGTAGAGACGGAGGAAAAGAAGGGAGGGTAAGGCTGTGACAGGTGACATAAGATAGTTTAAGCAAAGTGAATCTCAAGACTCACCAGATCGAAATGCTTGGACAAAGATTATCAATTCTTTCTTTGTAAATTTGAACCTGGAGACATGGTTCTAGAAACAATCTAGTGGCCAACCTATAACCAGGAGGAGAGCCTTTTTCAAAACAGGAAACAGAAAGATAGCAAAGCTGATGAGAAAAGTCAAAACCTGAACTAATTGTGCCAACCAATACATTCCCCCTTTTGGTTAAGTCAGTTAAGCTGTGTTCCTTATCACTTGGAACCACAAAAATCATAATTGATGTACCCAATACATAGCAATGATGCCCGGAACACAGTAGGTTTCACTTAGTGGTTAGAGCATCGGCCCGCGTACCAAAGACTCATGGGTTCGATTCTAGTCAAACCTGTTGCGGTTTGATCCCCAGCCCTGGCTGGGGTCATGCAGGAGGCAATTAGTCGTTGTGTCTCTCTCACATCAATGTTTCTCTTTCTCTCTCTCCCTCCCTCCCTTCCTCTCTATCTGAAGATAAATGGAAAAAAATATCCTCAGGTGAAGATTTTTTTTAAAAGTATATTACCCTATCTGCTTACACTATTCCTTATCTGCTTACTTACAGTTCTTATGTTTTCTAAAGATGACTTTTGTGTTTGCATTATATTTTATATTTACATTAAATTAAACATTACACATTAGATTTAAACTGAAGTCTTAGGAGCCTTTGATTTAGAACACAGCTAGTACTTTTTGGGTTTTAAATGTACAACACTTTTATATTTTATCTACTTTCTTAGGAGACAGAAAACACCAAGGTCACAGACATTCCATAACAATAACCCTCATACCTTTCCTCTGGAATGACTACTAATTTTTAAACTTTGATTTTATAGTTCTCTCAAGTTTTTTCATTTTTCACTGGCTTTCTTAGACCATCCCCATGTCCCCTCACAGCTACTAACTTATGCGCCACAAAAGCATATAAAATGATTTAATAATTAGTGCCTAAAATGATGGAAAAAATTACCCTGTTTCCCTAAAATTTCAATATATGCCTTCTAGGGAGTGCACATCAACTTTGTTACTGAGAGAAGCTAGTGGGAGGATGAGAACATACTGAGGATAGTAAATACATGTTGGCTTTTTAGTTCATTATACTGAAACTTAGCTGTACCTAAAACCATACCACCTTTACAACATTCACAATTGCCCAGTAACTACTGAAGACCTCCAACCATGAGGATCATATTTCCCAAACTCTCCGTTTATGATAATTGCACCTTTGTAATCAACCAACACTATTCAAGTAAAGATGCAGTGATGGTCCTGAAAATGGAGATGGTTTTAAATATCTACATTCAAGAGGGGGGCCTGGCTGGTGTGGCTCAGTGACTGAGTGTCGACCCATGCACCAAGAGGTCACCAGTTCGATTCCCCGTCAGGGCACATGCCCAGGTTGTGGGCTCAAATCCCCAGTGTGGGGCATGCAGGAGGCAGCCAATCAATGTTCTCTCTCATTGATGTTTCTCTCTCTCTCTCTCCCTCTCTCTCCCTTCCCTCTCTCTAAAAACAATAAAGAAGAAAACAAAAGGAGGGAAAATACACACACAGGGACTGGCTTCACATCAGTTTGTCCAGCAGGCAATGAAGTTGGGAAAAGAAGGCACCTCCTCAAAGCCAATATAGTAGTATAAAACCAAAATGGGGATGGGGAGCAGGGAATTGCCTGATACTTAGCAAGTGGATCCTGGCTTCTAGCCATAGCAACCACATTAATTAAACTGAGATGTCAGAATAAAAGTAGTTGGAGATAAAATACAGAGCCTCCCTCATGAGTCCATTAGGGTAGGCCAAACTTCGTGTTTCATTAGCGGTTTATCCTCCCAAAAAGTTTCTTGGTCAAAAGAAGCTATATTAAAACAGAGACAAAGGGAGCTAGCAACTAGAATGCAGCATTTGTAAGGTCTGATCTTTCCAGCACTGCTACCTATTCAGCCCCTAGTAAGTCACCTTATCTTAGTCACTCAAACTCAAATTCCACATTCAAGTACAGATTTTAATATGAACGTAACTGCCCACATCACCAACCACCCTGCCTATGAAGTGCATTAGTGTCTCCAAATTGTTTTCAAGATACAGAAAGCAGTATTGTGCCTGTAATTTTTACTCACAAAATCTGGCTCCTTTTCTGCTGATTCACCTCCCAGTACACACTGTTCACTTTATTCTTCAGTGTTCCAATAGATGCCTGCCTGGATGCATCAACTTTGCTACTAAGAAAATAGAGAATAAATGGAAATGTGTGTGAGGGGGTAGGGGTTGTGGTGAGAAGACAGAGAATAGATCCAGTCAAGTGTTTCTCCAATACAAATGTCCTGAAGGAGTCCAAATCTGGGCACTGGCATGCATATGCTTGTGTTTTAAAGATGAAAGCCTCCTACAAGTGCAGTTTTAGGGACTCCTGCCCAATCCCCTCCATTCTACTTCCTTATTACTAGTAGATCTAATAAGCACTCCAGGGTGAAAGAAAAGGTAGACTCGGCTTCTTAAACTATGTAACAACCTAAATAATAGCAAGTTGCAATCAGTACACTCTTCAAGTTTCAAAAATCTAATTCAAATTTAACTGAGTACTACAGAGAACTATCTGCAAAAAGAGGAGACATAAATTTTTCTTTTGCATTCTATTCCTGCTTCTTCCATCTCTGGGCCTTCTATTATCTTCCTCAGTAAAACCCTATGTTCAACAATTTTCTATTGACATTCAATGCTCAGCTCCAAAGCTGAGTGAGCAAGTGTACTTCATATTTGGGATCTTTACCAACTTCTACCATTGTAAGCTTAACAAAGTGGTGCTCTCAGAGGCAAGTTCTGTGAACTCATAGGTTAAAGTGCATCTGATACTCTTAACATTAATCATGTCATCTGCTATATATTCAGCCTTTCCACAGATAACAGTGCAGTCACATTAACCCTTGTGTAAAGACCTTTTAAGCTTGAGGGAGAACACGTTTAACCCATAGTGGGGAGGAGGAGGGACCGGATTCAAGAACCATCAGGTTTCCTAGATCAGGGGTCAGCAAACTACAGCTCACAGGCCAAAATAAACCACAGCCTGTTTTTGTAATTAAAGTTTTTTTTGGAACACAGCCATGCTTATTCATTGATATATTGTCTATGGTTGTTTTTGTGCTACAACTGCAGAGTTAGTTACCACAGAAATCTTAAGACCTTCAAAGCCTAATAGTTACTACCTGGCCCTTTACCACAAATGTTTGCCAACTCCTATCCTAGATGAAGACAGGAGCAGGTTTATCAATAATTTTGTAGCAAATTCTACCTAGATTATGCAAACAGTTCTAAAGTGGAAGGCAATGCTAGGCATAGTATTATTTCAAAAAATTGTACTGTAATTTTTTGATACAGGATTACTTCAGTTTATGTCACTAACCCGTATATATCACCACACTATTTAGAATAAGTCAAAAGAATGCCTGATTTGGTAAATTCTAAATGTAAAGAAAAATTCCACAACATGGCCTGCAATGGCAGTTACTTTATTTTATTTATTTATCCTCACCTAAGGATATTTTTCCATTGATTTTTAGACAGAGTGGGAGGGAGGGAGGGAGGGAGAGAGAAACATCAATGTAAGAAAAACACATACATTGGTTGCCTCCTGCATGCACCCTGAATCGAACCTGCAACCCAGGTACATGCCCTTGACTGGGAATTGAACCCATAAGTCTTTGGTGTGTGAGACAAACTCTAACTGCTAAGCCACACTGACCAGGACATGGCAGATTACTTTTAAAACAGAACTCAATGTTACTCTTCAATATTTGAGGCCAGAAAATTGCCACATCTAAGATTTTAGCTTTGAACTTGTTCTCTTTTCTAATTTCTTCAGAGAAACCCTTATTCAACAAACACTGAGTGGGCACTTACTTTATGTCAGACCCTGGGTTAGTTCTGGAACAAAATAACGCTTATACTTGGGCCTGGTCACACAATAGAAGATTTCAGGAAAGAGATTAACCTAAAAATCACAAGGGACACTTTTAATAATTGTTAAAATTAAATGACTTTGCTCTGCCACTGTTCTACTAGAAGATTCAGTGAATAAATGCTGTGTTTAGATTGTGCTCTGTCTCAAGTGGGTTATGGAATTTATATCTCTAAGACAAGGTCTATGATAGATTCAGTGAGTCTGAGATTTGGACCAAAAAAAATCGTATCTTTATTTTTACTAACCTCTGGCAAATTCACCATTTCCTTCAACTATGAACATAAGCCACAACTGTAATAGTAGACTTAGTAGAATAATAGACTTTGTCATCAATAGAAATCATAGATTTTTCTCCTCTTTTTTTAAATCCTCACCCAAGAATATTTTTCCATTTATCGCAGATAGGGTGAGAGGGAGGGAGGAAAGAGAGACAGAGAAATATCGATGTGAAAGAGATACATCGACTGGCTGCCTCCTGCACAATCCCAGGACTGGGGACAAACCGAGGTACGTGCCCTTGCCAGAATGGAACCCACGACTCATTGGTCCTCAGGCCGACGCTCTAACTGCTGAGCCAAACCGGCCAGGGCAAAAAATCATATATTTTCATATCATATTACACTTGTTACAAATATCTTATTTAAACACATGATCACTTAAAAATCATTATAGTAATAAGACCTGCTGATAGTAAAAATTTACTGTATTACTAAAAAGCACATAAGTACTGTATCACACATTTTAAGATACTTTGATAACTATATTTCAACATAATTTGTTTCCCTTTAAATTATATGTATTTTATTTTTTGCATATTAAAATATTATTCCAAAAAGGGATTCCACAAGTTTTCATCATACTGCCAAAGGAGTTCATGACACAAAGAGATTAAGACTTCTGCCCTGGCCGGTTTGGCTCAGCGGTTAGAGCGTCCGCCTGCGGTCCGGAGAGACCCGGGTTCGGTTCCCGCTAAGGGCATGTACCTCGGTTGCGGTTTGTCCCCGGCCCTGGTTGGTCGTGCAGGTGGCAGCCACTCGATGTGACCCTTTCACATCGATGTTTCCCTCTCTCTCTCTTCCTCTCCCTCCCTCCCACTCTGTACAAAAAATGGAAAAATGTCCTCGGATGAGGATAGAAAAAAAAAAAAAAAAAAAAAAAAAAAAAAAAAAAAAAAAAAAGACTTCTGCCCTGGCCGGTTCTGCTCAGCAGTTAGAGCGTCGGCCTGTGGTCCAGAGAGACTCAGGTTCGGTTCCCGCTAAGGGCATGTACCTCGGTTGCAGTTTGTCCCCGGCCCTTGGTTGGGCAGGTGGCAGCCACTCAATGTGTCCCTTTCACGGCGATGTTTCTCTCTCTCTCTCTCTTCCTCTCTCTCCTTTCCGCTCTATCTGAACAAAAAATAGAAAAATGTCCTTGGGTGAGGATAAGAAAAAAAAAGATTTCTGCTCTAGGGTCAAAAATAAACAAATAAAATCACATCTAAGGTAATTTTCTGTAGATTTTAAAAAAACATTTTAAATGGTCACCATTTCTTTTAAGTGCCATACACTTATTTTGTTCTCTAATATAGAGCAAAGACCAAATGTCACTATTTTTAGCAGCTCTTGCTTCAAAACTGGTTTGAAAATAGTTGCAAATGTGACACACAGCCCAGCAGATCCGTGGGTTCCAATGGCTTTACTGATAGTCATTCTAGTCCAAACATAGAAAGCTTCAAACTAATATAATTTTCAACGTTTAACAAGAGAGTTAGAAAAAAAGAGAGAGAGAGACAAACAACAACAACAAGAACAACAAACCCTGCTATATGTCTATTTACTAATCTGGTTTGCAAATAGTAACACATAGTCAATTTTAAAATTATGTATATTAATGAGATAATGTATATAAGCCAATCTAACACAGTGCCAAATATATATTATAGACTCACAAACAGTTTCTTTTTTTTCTTCTGGAGTGGTGCTCTGGCATATACTGCAAAGTAGAGTATGTAAAAATGTGTATTCCCTAAACTTTCTGACTGAATTGTAGAAGAAGGGAGTTAGGATTTAAATTTTGCCACAAACACTCATAAAGCAATTAAAATAAATCAAACTTCAAACACATGTCCAGGTACCCATTTGACAGGGATAATGTAAAGAGAGAAGTTAGGACTAGAAACAGGAAAGTGTGAGCTTAGGTAACAGAAGGTGATAGAAGTCACCCTCTGAGCAGATAAGCAGGAGGGTCGTGCCCTTATCTCCTCACTAGTTCCTTCCTAAGTCATATTGTTTTTCTAATGTGACTAATGTGATGATAATGTAAAAAAAATGTAAAAGCAGCCACAATCTTAAGTAAAACAGAACTCTCACAGTCCAATAATGATTAGGAAGTACTCTGACTTTAGGGTTTCTCTAAATGAAAAGATTCCTCCAAAACCATGACTTTTAGAAAAATGTATTCTTGCTCTGGCCGGTTTGGCTCAGCGGTTAGAGCGTTGGCCTGCGGTCCAGAGAGACCCAGGTTCGGTTCCCGCTAAGGGCGCGTGCCTCGGTTGCAGTTTGTCCCCGGCCCTGGTTGGTCGTGCGGGTGGCAACCACTCGATGTGTCCCTTCACATCGATGTTTCTCTCTCTCTCTCTTCCTCTCTCTCCCTCCCGCTCTGTCTGAACAAAAAATGCAAAAAAAAAATGTCCTCGGGTGAGGATTAAAAAAAGAAAAATGTATTCTTTCTGTTCTGTTTTAGGGTAACACAAACATTGGTGTAAGAGAGACCTGTTTCTGTTTGATTCAGAAAGGAGGTTATCTCTATTAGTAGAAAAGCCAGATGATCTGACTTCAGATCAGAGTTATGCAATAACAATAACAAATTATTAAGCTTGCTTTTTCTATGAATACGTCATTAATTAATTCTCATCAGCATTTATAACATGCAGAAGTTACTCAACTACTCAGAGGAATCAGGTCTAACCTAGGGGTTAGCTCCACAGGGGAATCATGAATAGGGTCAGGTGGTTTACAAACTCCATGAGACTATATACAGAATTTGGTGAGCAGTCATATATTTTAGATTATTAAAGGGTTGTTTATTCAGCAAAACCGTTACCTCTGCCACAGTTAGAAAATGTAAAACAAGAGAAAGCAATAATTCTTCCCACAGTCACAGAGTAAGTCAATGTCATCAGATAAAGTAACCTGGGACTTCTGAATCCAAGGCTCTATCTGACTAGATCATTTTCCTCAAGGGATCATATATCCAAAGAGGAGGTCTCCAAGAAAAATAAAACCTCATTTGTTTATGGAAAGAGAAATTATAAACTGAAGAAGGAATAAAGTTAATTCTTTATCAAGCAGTCCATTATACTGGTTTTCAAAGGGAATTTGCAAAGCAAGGTAGGTCAAAAAGAATCATTTCATTCAGGGAACACAGAAGACCCCAGAGGCAGTGCTGCAGCCTCCAAGCCTAAATGTCTTCTTTTCTATGGCATATATTCTGCTCTGGAAATTCTTCAGTGGTTCCTTTAGTTATGTAGAATGTAAAGCCAATCTAATATTCTAGAAACAGGTTTAACTATCCATTTTTTTAAGCTAAACAAAGGCTATCCCTCACCATTCCCAACTCATTTCCCATTTAAGAATCTTTCTGAACTCTCTCCCCTATGACAAAGTGCTTATGTGTACAGGAGGTGTAAAAATTAGCTCAAGCTTCTTCTATTAAGATATATTTTAAAAACTGGGTGGCACAATCAGTGGTACCTTCTTCAAAAGGCTGTAAAAAAGGAGGAGGTAAGTCTGGCCGGTTTGGCTCAGCAGTTAGAGCGTCGGCCCTTGGACTAAAGTACTGAAGGTTCAATTCCTAGTCAAGAGCATGTACCTTGGTTGTGGGTTCAATCCCCAGCCCCAGTCAGGGTAGTGTGAGAGGCAGCCAGTCCATGTGTCTCTCTCATATTGATGTCTGTCTGTCTGTCTGTCTGTCTCTCTCTCTCTCTCGTTCCCTCCCTCCCACTCTTTATCTAAAAAAAATCAATGGAAAAATATCCTCTGGGTGAGGATTTAAAAAAAAAGAAGAGGAGGTAGTGTAACTCACTTCAGTTCATTTCATCTGCATCACTAACAGCCCTCATGAAAGGAAATCAGTAGGAAATAAAACCAAATGCAGAGTCTCATTCCCAATATGCCAATCTTGGCCTCTAGTGCACAAATGAGCGCTGAATATCTAAATACATTAAAACCGCCCCATGTGGCATTCTAGTCACCATTGTTGACCTTCCCAAAGTCATCCTTTCTTCTCTCTGATGGTCATCATCTATTTGCCACTGATTACTGCACCAAATTCCATTCTCAACAAATATCTTTTTACTAGCAATTCTCTGTACTTGAAGAATCACTAAATATCAAGATTGAAAAGGACCCTGAAGGTTCTATCTCCCTGCTCCCATTTTTTTTCTTGGCAGAATGTTATCTCTATCTGCTGTTCCCTTCCTAAGCCTTGTTCCTACCTGCCCCAAAGCTTCCCCTTCCTCAATGTCTATTCCTAGCAATTTTTCCTATTATAGACCCCTCTATCTTCATGCCTCTACAAATATCGCTGTTCCTATTTCAATATATAAGTTTTGTGCTCCCCTGAGATCTTCAGTTTCAGTCCTCAGACATAACCAGTCACCTCAATTATTTTTGAGAAGCTTTCTTCCTGTTAGGTCTATCTTACAGAGCCTCTGCCTCAAGGGTAGATCCGATCTTTGCAACAGCATCTTTGTACTTACAAACAGCCATTAATCATGGCAATTCAGACCTGAAAGGAAACTCAGAAATAATCTAGTCCAATGTTTTCAGACTTTTTTGTACTACATTTTATTTCACATATTTTAAGATATATGAAATCCATTTTACACCACAATCTCATACACACATAACTGAAACCAGTTTCATGAGACAATACTTACCCTTACTATGTGAACAACACTGAAAAATTTCTGTTTTTTAAAATTCAGGTGCCTTGCCCAGCTGGTGTGGCTCAGTGGTTGGGCATCGACCCACGCACCAAGAGTTCACGGGTTCAATTCCAGTTAGAGCACATGCCCAGGTTGTGGGCCCGATCCCCAGTCGGGGGCATGCAGGAGGCGGCCGATGGATGCTCTCTCCCATCGATGTTTCTCTCTCTCTCTCCCTCTCCCTTCCTCTCTCTCTCTCAAAATCAATAAAGAAATTTTTTTTTTTATTTCAGGTGCCATCCACTAATGGATTTCACAACCTAATACTAGGACAGAACCCATAGTTTAGGAAACATTAATCTGGTCCAAACTTCCTATTCACCGAGGAAGAAGCTGGAGTTCAGTGGTGTAGTTCCCGGCTAGAAGTAGTTTGTCCCTAACGTTAAACTCAGGTCTGTGTGATGAGTCCCAGACCAGTGTCCTTTCCGGGAAAGACCGCCTCTGCCCAGCCACAGCCACTCAAGCACAGCCCGTGCCCAGACACAACCCTACAGTACCATCTCCAGTCACCGGTCCCACACTCTTCTCCAAGTCTGCCCCTCAAAGTTACCGCTCGTCGGCCAGAGTCTCTCCGCAGCCGCTGCCTCGGGCTCCCTTGGGTCAAAGTATCGTCACAGTCACCGTCCATAGATCAGCCTCCTCCGAATCACTGGCCCTCGGTCACAGTCCCCACGCAGGCAGCGCCTCTCACTTCTTCGGTCATAGTTCCCTCGCAGCCTCTGCCTCGTGCAGGCTGGGCTCAGGGTCCCCCTGCATTCACGGCCCCCGGGGCGCAGACCCCTCGCGAGCAGCTACCTCTCGGTCACAGTGCCCCCGCCGTCACTGCCCCGGTCACAGTAGCCGCGCAGTCCCCGCCGCACACTCCCCTCGCTGTCACTGACCCCTCTTCTTCCAGTCCCGTCGCGGTCCCAGCCCCACGGGCTCCTCACACAGAGCCGCAAGCAGGCGCGCCCAGCGGGCCCTCACCTGCAGCTCCGTCCCCCGCCGCCCGTCCCGGCGGATTCCTCCCGGGCGCAGCGTCACGGACCAGGGAAGTTGAGGAGGTGGTGGGGAGACGCCCGGGAAAGGCAGCTGACGGAACAGCGGGCCGGAAGTCCCGCCTCCTGCCCGCCCTCTTGTCAATCCGACGCGACTTTTCCGTGAAAACCCCGACACTTGACACGGTAGTTCCGCCTCCACCGAGCCCTGGGGGAGGGGCGTGACTGAGCGGAACCCGACGGAGGGTGACTTGGCGGAGGGCCAGTCTCCGCGCGGAACTGGCGTGGGCGGTGGCCTCCTCGTAAGGAGATGCACCTGTGGACTGTCACGCGTGTTCCCGGCAGTCCGCAGGAAGCAGCGTTAGCCCGCAGCTCCGTCCTCCCAGGCGGACCGTCTGGGTCTCCCCACGCTCTCCCCAGCCCCTGGCGCGCCGTGCCAGACCCTGGTACCAGGGCGTTCACAATGCGGGTCGCCGTGACACCTTCCGCCGAAGACCCCGCGGTCCGCCTCTGCCTCACCAACTGCCCACTTTCCCCTACCGGGTGATGCAGAGAGAATTGAGCTCCGCCGACCAAGTCCTGTAAAAACCTGCAGCTGGCTCCAAGCCCCCTTTCCTGAATAGTATGAACCTACATATAATGAATTGTCATTTCTGACCCTGGTTGGCACACCAAAGAATCCCTAGTAACCGAGGGCTAGTTGAGTGGGAGTGGCTGGAAGAGAAGGGGGTTTTATGGACAGTGACCTCACACGGTGATCTGATCATAAATTCCTAAGTCATGGGGGGTAGTCAGCCCCAGGCACATAACTTTTTTAGTAAAAAGTTTATCTTTGCCTTAGCAAGTCCTGTCCATTGTTTCTGTGCATCTAGGACAGGTTCACACACCTCTGAAATGCTTCCTTTCAGACCCTCTCCTAAAGACTGCTCTCAAGAGTTTATCCTTTAACAGTTAAAGTTTAACTGATCCCCAGCTTGCTTTCTTCCACCATCATGTGATCTTCCTTCTGTTCCCTTCTTAGCCTCAAATGCATAAAAGCAGCTGCAAACTTATTCTGAATAGTATGCTCCCTGACATATGCCATCAGTTTATCTTAAATAAACTCAGAAAAATTCTCTACGGTTTTGGATGTTTCTTGGGTCAATAAGTAGATTTGAGGGAGACCACTGGTAGGAAATCACATTGCATGGTGTCTGGTGAGAAATGTTTTCCTTTGCTAGAATGAACCTTTGGATCCTATAGATGTAAGGCAAGTAGATGCCCAATATTATGGGAGAAGTATGTAAAACAACTTTTTTGAAATTAATTTATTTTTGTTACAGATGTTTCTCCTTTTTCTCCCACTGATTCCCCCCTCCCTCTCCCTCCCCACCCTGTCCCCAGCTTTGTTGTCCATGTCCACTGTTCATGCATACATGCATATAAGTTCTGTGGTTTATCTCTCCCCCACTACCTCCTTTTCTGGGGATTGTCAGTCTGTACCCCACTTCCACATCTCTGGGACTAACCCATTCCTCAGACTATTATGTTCATTATATTCCACAAATAAGTGAGATAATATACTTGTCTTTCTCTGTTTGGCTTGTTTCACTTAGCATGATACTTTCCAGGTCCCTCCATGTCATCTCAAAGGATAAGAGATCTTTCTTTCTTACAGCTGCATAGTACTCCATTGTGTATATGTACCACAGCTTTTTTATCCATTCTGTAAAACAACTTCTTAATATGGTTTCTTATTCATTTATTTATTGGTCTACATGCTTGAAAGTGGCTAAGAAGAAAGAGGGTGAGTAAACTTATGCATCTGCTGAGGAGCCTCAAGATTTAAATTGTGGCTCTTTCTCTTTTTTAATCCTCACCCGAAGTTATTTTTCTATTTATCTTCAGGTAGAATGGGAGGAAGAGAGAGAGAAACATCAATGTGAGAGGGACACATTGACTGGTTGCCTCCCGCATGACCCAGACCAGGGCGGGGATGAACCACAACCGAGGTACTGCCCTTGGCCAGAATCAAACCCATGATTCATTGGTCCTCAGGCTGACACTCTACCACTGAGCCAAACCGGCCATGGCTGACCCTTTCTCTCTCTCTCTTTTTAATCCTCACCCAAAGATATTTTTCCATTTTTGTTCAGATAGGGTGGGAGAGAGGGAGGGAGGGAGGGAGGGAGGGAGGGAGGAAGAGAGAGAGAGAGAGAGAGAGAGAGAGAGAGAGAGAGAGACAGACATTAATGTTAGAGGGATACATCGACTGGTTGCCTCCTGCATGATCCCGTCCAGGGCCAGGGATGAAATGCAACCGAGGTACGTGCCCTTGACCAGAATCGAGCCCCTGACTCATTGGTCCTCGGGCTGACGCTCTAACCGCTGAGCCAAACCAGCCAGGGCTGACACTTTCTCTTTTGTATTTCAAAGTTATTTGCACGAGTCTCTATTAAACAAAAATTTAACTCTGACAGCTGAAAGTCTTTTTATTTATTTATTTATTTACTTACTTACTTACTTTGAGAAAGGTTTTATTTAGCCAAAAATACTAGCCAAAGAAGACCAGTCTTGGCATATGAAGTCCAAGTCACCAACAGCATACATTTCTGTCGCCCTGGAGTTTGCCACAGTTTTTTTTATCAGCTGGGGAATGGTGGTGGGGAGAAAGAATATGCTGTCCAAAAGACTTTGTTACAAAGGGGGTGGGAGAAGGTGAAGTGGCACCAGCTCTGGGATAGCACTGAGCCCTCAAGGAAGAAGTGTCTGCTCCTTTGTACTGATGGGCAACAGTCCAGAAAGTTCATTCACAAACAAGAAGTGGAGCTCCTGGAGTTGGAAGTTTCCTTATTTTAAATAATTGTAGAACTAGCCACCTGGAAATTAATCTGAAGTTCGATATATATATATGAATATGAGCAGTCTTTTGTTAAGAGGTCCACAGCTATTAACAGGCTAACTGTTCTGTCTCTCTCACTCTCCAGCTGCTATAATTTAATTTAGAACATCTCAGAATTTTCTCTTTGTCAGCTCATAGACTAAGGTGCTCCAAATAAGGACAGCTAGCTGGAAAAGACACTAGGGACTCTAAGGAGAAGATCATTACAAAGACAATGGAAGCTGGGATAGCAACTAACATAATTTTGGAGAGTCTTATAGGAGGACTAATTTCATACACAACTTGGAAGCTCTCAGACACTGTCAGAAACTCTGACACTGGAAAAACCCTGGAGAAAACAGATGCAAGTTTAAGCTAATAAGCTGTGTAAGGTAAAGAGTGGAAAGAGCTGAGCAAAAACAATGAGTGAGAGATAAAGGAAACAATTCAAAATGTAAGGAAAAAACTTTATGCACAAATAAATTTATCTCCTTGTTATTTATAATAGTATAAAATTAGAAATAATCAGTCCCTCAATAAGGGCATGGCAAAAATAACCAATGGTACATCCTAATGGAATAAATGCAACTATTAAATTAAATTTATGAAAATCAATGCAAATAAAACGGCATAAAAACTACACACGACATTATGAGAAGTGAAAAATCAGATTACAAACTTGTATATATGGTTTTTAAAAAACACTATAAGTAAAAAAGCACTGGTAGAAAATATACCAAAATATTTATAGTCTGTTATGTTAGAACAATTGAATTATGGAGCTTCCCCTACTTTTTTCTCTACTTTCCAAAGGTAGTTAGAACACATAACAAACTCAAAACATTAACTATAAATCCTAGAACTCAACATATTCAGTTGCCAAAATGCCAGGTTATCTTTATTTTGTCAAGATATTTAACAATATAAAAAGTTCATATTTCTTCATGGTCATATCTTTTCCCAGCGTTCAAAGATTCAATAGTAGAAACATCCAAATGCTGCTACAACGCAGAATAAACTGTCCTACAAAACAAACAGAACACATAATACACATATAAATCCAGAATGTTAGTATGAGTAAAGAGATTTTCTGAATGTAGAAATAAAATACAAACTTACGAACTTTATGTAAAACATATTCATAAAATAAGCATTCCCATTTTTCCTGATTTATCAAATAAATGATATATAAAATGCTTTGAATTTCTTGAAGTAAATGTATTACTCAACCCAAAGAACTATATTATAGTATCACACATAATAAAAACAGCTCCTTGTTAAAATTCTGGATAAGGGTAAATGGCCTCTGGGTATTTGTTTTTAATTTATAAAATTCATTTGTCTATCTTTTAGCTCAGAATCTCAAAATGCTTTCCAGATCTTAGTTAAAATTTTAAAAACACTTTTTAGGTATTTCTTATAGGAACTCCACCTGCCTCAGTTAACTCCTGATCTACCAACCTCGCCTCCAGCCTGGCAGTGGTGAGAGAAAATCTGAACCCAAGTACCTGATTATTAACCAAAAGCAAAATTCTATGGTTAGCTCAGTTTTCTGCCTCCTTGGGTAGGATAACTGTGACCTGTGTTCTATGACAGTGCTATCTGAGGTGAGGACCTACTTTTGTTTTTGTTCTAATTTCCAATCCCTCATGCATTATACTTTTGTAAAATACAATAAAAATTAATAACAAGAAAAACAAAATGAAAAAAGAAACATACAAACACAGCCTACACGTTTTATTATTAGATTTAATGGACATAAAATTACTTTGTGAAATTCCTATAAGCATTTCCAAATCCTTACACTCAATTTATATACTTATCTCATCAAAAACTTGTAGCAAATGGTTCATGGCACTAGTCTACAGACCCGACTTTGATTGGCACTGTTCTACAGTGTCACCCAGAGTTCTCCAGCAGGATTGAGCTGGTTTATCCACAGCAATTATCAGTTCAAAAGCATATACCTTTCTCTCCCCTCTCTCACTTCCTTATACTCTACCGGTGCTTCAGAGTATCTTATCGCAAATAATAAAGTCCTTTAAACTCTGAAAATGACAACTAAGCACTCAACCAACTGGACTAAAGATACAGTATACTAACTCAGCAACCAAATCAGTCTCTCAAAAATGATTTTTAGACATCCCACCCTCCAACCCTGTGTTCTAAATCTCAATCCCAGAAACTTTAAGTAGTAATTAACTAAAGTTTTATACTACATGTTTGTTAATTTGAATATTGTCTGGCCCCCACTGTTTATAAGCTCTCTACAGGAAATAACCATGCCTGTCTTATTCACCATGTCATTCTTAGCACATCCAGTACAGAGATTAGCACATAACAGAAGCTCAGAATTATCTCTTGAATGAATGAATTATATTGTATAAGGAGTCAGGGAACTATAAATTTTTAACTCCAAAAAGCAGGAAAAAAATATCACCTTAACTTGATCTTCCCCCAGAGAGCTGATAGGTGAAGATTTAGATAATACTTCCCATCCTTCAGTCCCTGATCCCTAGGGCAGTTGAGTGTAATATGAAACTTTTGTAGGACCATAAATTTTAGAGCTAAAAGGTACCTTAAGATCTACTACACAAGCAACTTCCAAATCTGGCAGTGGGGAACTTTTACTTTTGTAATCCTCACCTGAGGACATGCTTATTGATTTGAGAGAAGGAGACAGAGAAACATCCGATGTGAGAGAGAAATATCAATTGGTTGCCTCACTTACATGCCCCAACCGGGGATAGAACCTGAAACCTAGATAGGTGCCTTGACTGGGAATCGATACCAGAAGCTTTTGGTGTATGGGTCCACACTCTAACCAACTGAACCACCTGGCCTGGGCCATTTGGGAAACTTTTAAAAAATTCAGATTCACTGATCCAACCCTGAGCTTATTTGATTAGAATCTACTTGAGTAGGACCTCGGCATAAGTATTTTAAACAAGTTCCTGAAATAATTCTTAGGCACCCACAGCCAATCTTTCGGAAAATCTAGTACAGTTTCCTAATGTTACTGATACGATCAGACAAAAGTTCAATGACTTACCTAAAGTCATCCAATTAGAAAGTTACAGAGCTGGAAATGGAAACTCTCTACTAATTCACTCAATCCAGTGTCTGTTCTACACTAAACTAATTCGCAACCTGGGAGCATTTGGATAAAGGAAGCAAGCATAAAATATACACTAAAATTTATAAAATATCCATGCCAATAACTTCCCAATGTTTAAATAACTCTTTTTAAAAATCCTCTTTATTTTGCCTAGTTTTGAAAAACAGCTTTAAGATAAAGTAATTAACTTGATTACTGAAAGAAAAATCACCTTTGCTCATGGAAACCCTGCCACCCAAATTTCTTCGCAGTTTAGCAAAGTGCTGTGTATCTATTAGCCCTAAACAATATGCTATTCTCAAATTCAAACTTGTAAGGAGTTGTATCATCTGTACACATATTAATCTCCTTGCCTATAAGCAGCACACTAGGTTTCTGCTTTAGTCACACACACACACACACACACACACACACACACACACACCCAGTAAAGTCATCACATCCAAAAGGAGTTTAAAACAAACGTCTAAAACTAAAGTGTCCTCACATCTCAATAAATATTAACTAATTTCATTTGGAATGTTCCCATATCTTTTGAAAGGAAGAAAAGGTTCCCAAATAGACTTACATTCATGAAAACATCATGAGTGCAGTTGTCAGTGTCGGCATCCCAGAAACAGCGAGCAGCCATGCTAAAAAGTCAAAGATTGGAGAATTATCAACAGTGTAACAAGGATCTGAACTACATATATCTGCCAGCAGCAAAATTTTCCTTTTAGAGCAGTACTTCCAAACCTTTTCACAGGCTGGCACACAGCAAAGCATATTTGTATAGCAGAGTATACTGGGTAAACTGGTGTCATAGATAAGGTTGCTTGCAGTTGGAGGTGACCTACCCAGATATCTAGCAGTCTCAAATCTGACTAGCTGCCTGATGACTAAAGGGGTCACTACCTTGAAGTCTTTGGAACTAAGTGTGGGAAGCTCTGTTATACAGATTACTTCACTAAGACATTTGCATGTATAACTTTTAAAGGAAATAACACCTAAGAATTATAACTAAAATGGACTTAATTCCTGCACAATATGAGAAGGTAAGTCTGGAAAGAATTCAACAGATTGTTTACCCCAACCTAGAAAGAAAAGGGGCAAACTATGAACCAGAATTCACTCTTCTAACTAATTCTACATCCAGTATTATTTCTACAGGATGCTATGCAACCTTCGAATACTCAATTTGGCTATTCTCTCCAGTTTTGGGGTAAGAGAAACATGTCAGTGAAAATAAAAACTAATTAGAAATGCAAACAGCCCTGGCCGGTTTGGCTTAGCTGTTGGAGCATCAGCCTGCGGATCAGAGAGTTCTGGGTTCGGTTCCCGCTAGGGGCATGTACCAAAAAAAAAGCAAACAGTTTAAATTCCCAGTAGTAGTATTATATTGATAAATGAAATTATGGTATTTCTTGGCAATGAAATTCTATATAGCCATTAAAGATATTTTTTTACAAAATAACTTCAAGAACATGAAAAGATGTTCATAAAATAATATTAAATTCAAAAAGTAACTACAAATGTCTTACATTTTTTATTAAAGGTGTATATATAATTAATCGATAATATTTAGGGGTTTTTTTTCTTTATTTTTAGAGAGAGAAGAAGGGAGAGGAAGAGATAGAAACATCGATTGGCCGCCTCCTGCATGCTCCACCCTGGGGGTTTGGCCCACAACCTGGGCATGTGCCCTGATCAGGAATTGAACTGGCAACCTCTTGGTGCATGGGTCGGTGCTTAACCACTGAGCCACACCAGCTGGGCTTATCGATGACATTTACTGAATGCTTACTTTGTGTCAGCCTCTGGCTTAAGTACTTTACATGTATTAATTCACTTAATCTTATGAGGTAGGTACTATTATTATACCCATATAATAAAAATGAAAACTGAGGGTCAGATAAATTAAATAAACTTGTCCAAGGTCGTTCAACTAGTAAGTGACAAAGCTTCACTTTGAACCTAGGCAATTTAACTTCAAGTCTGTAGCAAAAGATATACATATACCATATTATATTGGTTCTTTTTTTTTCATTCCTCACTCGAGGATACTTTTCTATTTATCATCAGACAGAGTGGGAGGGAGGGAGAAAGAGAGAGAGAGAGAGACACATCAATGTGATAGAGCCACATCGACTGGCTGCCTCCCACACAACCTGACCAGGGCAGAGGATGAATCACAACCAAGGTGCGTGCCCTTGACCAGAATCGAACTCACGACTCAGGGTCCCGGGCTGATGCTCTAACCACTAAGCCAAACCAGCCAGGGCATATTGGTTCATTTTTTTTTTTTTTTTTTTATCCTCACCTGAGGACATTTTTCTATTTTTTGTTCAGGTAGAGTGGGAGGGGGAGAGAGGAAGAGAGAGAGAAACATCGATGTGAAAGGGACACATCGAGTGGCTGCCACCCGCACGACCAACCAGGGCCGGGGACAAACTGCAACCGAGGTACGTGCCCTTAGCGGGAACCGAACCCGGGTCTCTCGGGACCGCAGGCCGACGCTCTAACCGCTGAGCCAAACCGGCCAGGGCTTGGTTCATTTTTTTAAACTTTTTTTTTTTAAGTTTTATACCGAAGAGCACCTCCTAACCTAATCTTTTACACATTCTTTTTTTTTAATCCTCACCTGAGGATATGATTTTACTGATTTTACAGAGAGAAAAAGGGAGAGAGAGAGAAAGATCGATGTGAGGGAGAATCATCGACTAGTTGCCTCTCATACCCACCCTGACCAGGGATCAAACTTGCAACCTACATATGTGCTCTGACAGAGAATCAAACCCACAACCTTTTGGTATATGCTCCAACCAACTGAGCCTCCTAGTCATATATTCTTTATTTCTTTTAAATGTTTTTATTTGAATTTTAGAGAGAGAGGAAGGGAGAGGGAGAGATAGAAACATCAATGAGAGAGAAACATTGATTAGCTGCCTCTTGCATGCCCCCTATTAGGGATCGTGCCTGCAACCCAGGCACATGCTCTGACCAGGAATCGAACCAGTGACCTCTTGGTGCATGGGACGACATTCAACCACTGAGCCACACCAGCCAGGCTATACATTCTTAAATAAATAAAGTCCTACCTCTATTTGCAAAAGTAACAATATGAAATAAAGTCAATCTACTTGATTAATCAACAAGTATTTATTTAAGCAACTACCATATGTCCAGAAAGAGCAAAATCTGGCTCTATTCTCAATTCTCAATTTAACTAGGTGAAAAAAAAATTAACACACATCAAAAGAATAAGATAATGTATAGTTGTGATAATTTACTGGCTATTAGGTTTAAAAGAGACTGTAACATCTATCTAATCCAAGCCTCCAAATCCAAGTTGCACAGTATTTGAATTAAATCTGTAGTAGAGCTACAGAAATTTAGAGAATTTAGAGGCGAGAGAAGCCAAAGATGACTTCATGAAGTACTACTTAAGCTGAGCAGAACCAAGTGAAGACATATATATATAAATTTATTTAATAAATATTTACTGAGTGTCATGTATGAGCAAAGTGTTAGGGGCAAATAATACAGAGATGCATAAAACACAATCATTGCATATTGTGTACTCTTTAAACCATTTCCCAACAAAAGGAACCAGGGCTACTTGGAAAATGGCCAATTCCAGGTCTAGGGCTAGAAATGTACAAGATAGATCTGAACTATCCGGGTCATATTAAAACCCTGAACTATATTTAAAAAGAATTCTATATTTAAACACATATATTTATATATAGTCATAAATTTATGTGAAAAGAACTTAGAAAAAATATGATGGAAGTTTGTAGCAAGTCAATGCTCCCTCCCAGATCAATTAGAAAAACAGTATGAAATGAATCAGAGCTGCTGCAGCAAACAGGACTAGGGGAGCCAAAATTCCAGACAGGTTAGCAGCTGGAAGGTTAAAGTGATATTCTGCACCAGAGTTCTCCCTGGGGCATTTGCCAACTCTGTTCACATGGCTAGGGGCTGAGAATATGGGTTTTGTCCAGGTAGAAGACCAATTACTGAGGGAAAAATAAACCAGCAGGACTTCTGGCAGGCTTGCAGGGCTAGGGAGATAAAATTGGAGACTAGAAGGACCAAGATCCCTATAAAAAAGGAGAAAGGAGATCTGAGCCTTAACATTACATGGTACGTTTCCCCTTAAGACATGCTGAAATCCTGAAACTTGTGTAAGCAAGAACCTAAAAAACTAAGTGTGGTGGGCAAAATAATAGCCTCCCACCAAATATGTCTATGTCCTAAACACCAGAACATAGGAATATGTTATAGTACATCGCAAAAAAAAGGTTTTACATATATATGATTAAGCTCAGGATCTTAAGATGGGAAGAGTATCCTGGATTACCCAGGTGGGCTCAATGTAATCACAGGGTCCTTATAAAAGAAAGAGGGAGGCAGGTGGGTCAGAGTCAGAGAGATATTTGAAAATGGTATGCTGCTGGTTTTGAAGATAGAGGAAAGGTGTATGAGCTAAGGAATGCAGGCAGCCTCTACAAGCTGGAATAGGCAAGGAAATGGATTCTCCACTAGAGCCTACAGAAGAAACACAGCCCTGTTGACTCCTTGATTTTAGCTCAATGAAACCCATTTTGAATTTATTATCTCCAGAAATGTAAAATAATATATTTGGGCTGTTTTAAGCCACCTGGTTTGTCATTTGTTACAGCAGCAATAGAAAACTAATATATTAAGGGAAAAGATTAAAAAATGAGTAGTTTTATGCTAAAGAAACAAGGACTAAAAGTCAGTACTTGCTGGAGTGGGGTTTATACAAATGCTTCAGGTTCTTGGTTGAGAGATCAGGAGAGCTACATTCAAGAAAAGAAGGGTGAACTGAAGACAGAGAGAGCTTTATCAAAACTGAAACCAAACCTCAACTCAGCTCAGTACCTGATTGGATTAAAATAAGCAGCCCATACTTTACCTGAATAGCAATGGAAATGGTAAACCCTCTCTGAAAGAAAATAATATTATCTGGAGGTTCTACAGTTTGTTTTTTAACACAAACGTCCAGGATTCAAATGAGGCATGCCAAGAGACAGAGCCATATGAAGGATTGTGTGTGTGTGTGTGTGTGTGTGTGTGTGTGTATAAATAACTAATGGAAACAGACTCACACATGATCCAGGTACTAGAGTAAGCAGTAAATGACTAACATAACTGCTATGACCAAAATATAAAAAGAGAGGGGAGAAGTGGGGTAGAGGAAATAGATTACAAATACAGAATTTCATCAGAAAATTGGAATCTATAAACATGATTTAAATGGAAATTCTAAACCTGAAAAGCATAATAACTGAAGTTAAGAATTCAGTAGGTGAGTTAGACATAACAGAAAAGAGGATTAGTCAACTGAAAGACAGGTCAATAGAAAAATATCCAAACTGAAGCCAAGAGAGAAAAAACAAAAATTAACTCAAGAGTATAAGAGTTATGCAGAACACAGTAAAAATATCTAAATATATATAATTGGAGTCTAAAAAGGAGAACAGAGAGCAAACAGAGCAGAGTATATATATATATACACATACATTTTTTTTTTTTTTGGTACACACCCCTAGTGGGAACCAAACCTGGGACTCTCTGGTCCACAGGCCAACGCTCCAACCACTGAGCCAAACCGGCCAAGGCAGAA